CTTCAATTTCGTGTCGCAAGATTTTAACATGAATGGGCGCGCCCCCAAGGGTGAATCGGGCATGTCCCTCCACAGGATGCATCTAGAACAAATATCCGAACCATACTATTCTTGGAGACTTTTCATACGATGCTCAAAATAATCCAGACATCGTGTGGACATAGTTTTCTGGCTACTGGGCCGGCGAACGTACGATGCACGCGGTTAGAAATCACGATGCGCCGTGCGGCGCCATTTCTGTTTCGCCGCACTTCGTGGCGGCAGCGCGCGCTACCGCGTTTTGGCAGAGGCGTACGTTTATGGCGATGTGGTTTGTGCAACGTGCACAATGAAGGTCGACCGCGCGCTACCATCGTGAATTGGATGGCGCGGCGCTGCGATTAGATTGGCGCGCAGCGTGAGCAATTCGACGAGTGTCCTGTGGGCAGCCGTCAGTTGCCCTGCGGATTTGGATCCCTCCTATTTCCATCTTGTTACGCACCACCACAACATCCGCCCGATCAGACTTCATGGCCGCTGGCATCCTGGTTATCGCTGCAAAACTCAAATCCCCCCATTTAACCCCCTCGCTCCTGCGCGCTATCTTGCGCATCCTCCCAACCCTGCTTCCTGTCAGTAAGGGTGGCGCGCATAAAGCGGCGCTTCCCACGTTCGGCCGCGGGGCTGCTGTTGGCAATCGCGCAGGGGATATTGCGCGAGGGACAACCCTGACCGGACAACGCGTAACCCCTTTGATGCCATCATCGAGTAGATGCGAGTTGAGTAGGAGTTGATATGGAGCACGGTAGGCGTCGACTTCGAGGCTGTCCTCGGGCCAGGTTGACTGCACTTGGCGCAGGACAAGGGTTAGAGTGAGCCAGTTCCGAGTGGGGCAGAATTGGAGTCGGCGTAGACATGTCATGCAGAAAAATCGCTAGCTCTTATATGGAAGGGAAGAGAAGGTTTGCGTGTGCCGTTGAAGGCGGGGTAGAGCAGATCAGGGTCGAATTCGGCGCGTGACGGGGCAAAGAGCGATGGGGGCTATGTTTGCACATTTGCGCATCAACTCGCAAGCGCAGCGCAACTTGTCCATTCGATCGGCAAGGTAATCGCGCGGATCGCGCGGGGCCGAGTGTAGGGCGCGTTCCACCCGGACAGAGCAATGTGCCTACGTGCATGCGCGTGCGCGACTACATGCGTGTACTCATGCGCGCAGATTGGTGGGCCCAGTGCGTGCGTCGTAATGCAGGTCCGGGAGCCCACGGCGCGCCCCAATCGTCGCCGGCGCCGCCGGGGAATCCTGAGCGTAGACAGGCGTCGTCGCCAGCGCAGCAATGGTACTTCGGATGCCTGGAGCGAGAATCCGACGTACCAAGTGAGTTAACAGAATACTCATGTGCAGGATGGCGTGCGCTCGCCGACCGCGCAACATGCTCGACTGGGGGATTTCAAGCGCGATGCGCGCGCAACATACTCCAACAATGCATCCCGCAAGTTCCAAATGCAGGCACACTGCTCTCCGCAGATTTCCAACGTGTAAGAATAATCGGGGGGGGGCAAAGGCGCTCCCGCAGATTTCGCGCGCACAGACATATACCAAACGTAGTCCGAACTTGCCCAGGCATGCTCCGAAGGCACTCGAGCGCCATTTGCGAAATTCCAAAATGCTGCCAAGATGTTCCAGTACCATCAGCGGTATTTTAACATATCCGAAAGACATTCCAGTGCCATCTGCGAAATGTCAAAATATTCCAAGGATGTGCTGGCGCCATTTACGAATGTTTGAAATGCTCCAGAGACATGCCAGTGCAATTTGCGAATGTGTGAACACTCCAACGGTTTTCCTTGCCATCTGCCAGATTTCAAAAAGTTCTTGATACGCCCCCTCGGCGACCTCTGAGATTCTATTATGCCGCAGGAAACGCCCGCCGACATTTTGCGAGACAGAGCGCCCCAGGGCGCCGCGCGTTACCATCTTCGACGGCCCCGAGTCTTCCTGGATTTGCCCATTGCTACGCGGTGGGCCTCGCGGCCTGTCTCCGAGAACGCGAAATCTTGTAGCGAGCCCCCCTTCTCGCCCCCTTCGCCCGGCGTCGCGCCGCTGCGGCGTGCGAGGCAGTGGGCTCGCTGGCTGTTCAGGCGCCCTGCGTCGGGGTTGCCAAACGCGGGGCGCGCGCTGCTGATGCTGTGCCCTCGTCGGCTGCGCAGCGCGCCAATGCGTTGCCGAGCGCGTGTCATTCCGCGGCGCAGGAGCGTCGCGGCCCCATTCTGCGTGCCCGATTCCGCTGGGGGGTGGGCTCTCAACGCGCGCGCGCGTCAAACGCGCGCTGCGCCCCGCGCGTGTTGCGCAGCTTCCAGACGGAAGCGATTTCGGACTTTTTCATTTATCCTTTGATCCTGTTCCCCCGCGCGCCCGCCCTCGTCTTCACTGACGAGCGCTTGCAAATTGGGGCGGGGGGGGGGGGGGGGGCGCGCGCTGGGGGGGGGGGGGGGGGGGGGGAGGGGGGGGGCAGTCGATCGTAGGAGTGGTCGATCGGCCGATCGATGAGTTGGCGAGCTTGCGGCGTTCTTCCAGCCTCAGCGGACCCGTATTTTAAGTTTGCGAGGCTTCTCGTTTGCCACGTGCGTGCGTTGCGATCAGCGGCTGCCCTTGGATTGTCTACGCGTTCGGATTGGCGGGTTTCTAGTGAATCCCCTCGCGGGCCCTCGTGCGTGCGGCGTCTGTCGTTTGTCCTTGAGGTGAGTCCAGCGGCGACGAACCGCGCGGGGTCGGCTGACTTCGCGGCAGGGTTGGTTCGCTCTCGCGCGAACGCCAAACCATTGAATGTACATCGGCTTTATCTTGTAGTGATATACATGCGGCCATGGTTCAGGTGGCATTGAAAAAGCGCGCCCTTTGTCCGGCGCGCAGGGCGCTGTGGATTTTGCGCGCGCCGAGACGCGCAGGGCGACGTCGCGAGAAAAAAAAGGGCGACCCTCCAACGGGGATCGCGGCATGCCCGAAGCATTTTTGCAGTGCGAACCAAGTGTAGCAAGCATGTGTTTATAATCGACGGGATTTTGTTGGTTTGGACCACTTCCTTCACGCGTCGCCTGTAGGAGGACGTGCCTGACATGACCTCAGGGCGAGAGCCAACCGTTGCAGGCGACGGGTCCTCCGTCATTGTATATGTTGCAGGGTTTGAAGACGCTTTTTCGCGGCGCTACTGCGAGAGCCCTATTTCGAAATCCATCTGCCCCTGAATCTTTTAGTTGTGGTAAGCGTTTGGGTCGAATGTGTTTATTCTTTAGGTGAGAAAAACCCTTCTGAAGGCTCCAGGCTGGTGCAATGCTGTATACACTTTGCTGATATTGAAGTCGTGAGTTCCATTGCTCGCTTAAACATGCCACCTGCCCATCCACCCGCAGCTTGTTGGCAAAGCCGAACTGGTCGGTGACAACGACGATGACGATTACGCTGGTGATGTTGATGACGACGGTGGCGGCGATGTCGACGGCGACAGCGATGGTGATGGTGATGGCGCTGATGGTGGTGATCATCGGTGACGCGGGTGACGATGATGCAATCGGTGTTAATGGTGATGGTGGCGGTGTACCAGTGCGCAGAAATTTGAGTAACGCGACGGCATCGACGATGACCACGGCGATGGCGACCGCGTTGATCCCGACGATGGTGGGGACGATGTTGATGACTGCAAATCTGGTTCTGATGAGGGAAACGATTGCGCGCCCGCGAAGGTTCAAACATGAGGATTTGTTGTACAACCGTTTCGTTATGGTTGCGTGTGCATGTTCGCACATTTTAGTAATGACGTGGCTAAGCCGGCCCAGGGGTTTGGGTCGATTTTGGCGTGCGCGCGCTGCGCCCGCTCGCGTGCGGTGGTTCAGCGTTTCCGACATGCGCGCGCAAATGGCCCGCATGGTCGCTTTTGACTGGATGGCTAAACGCATGTTGCTTTCCGAGATTTTGCAAATCGCCACGCAGAATTCTGGACAGTATGTTGTCGAGCACCCAATGGGTTTTGATAGTCTTTGAATCGCCCCGTCTTCCAATTGTCTCTGTTTTTTGTCACACGAGGTTTTTCCAATATGCTCACCTGCGGGCGCGTCGGTGCGCGCATGTGCTCCGCAATATAGCGTTATTGCGAGGAACTGATAGCACAACTACGTCTTCGATTAACATGGCGAGTCGATTGTGGGATGACCCTGGATGGCATGATTCCATATGTATATGGTCGGATGGACCATAGCCGTACTTACATTGCAACACGAGAAGGCGACGGGATAAATCAGGCCTCGGGAGGGGGCTGGGGTCACGTAGCTACAAGAGAGGAATGGTGCGGGGATAGGGGTGAAGGTGAGGAGGAGGAGGAGGAGGAGGAACAGGAGGAGGGAGAAAAGGAGGGGGAAGAGGAGGAGGAGGAGAGGACATGGGCGGTGGCGGATGATGCCGAGCAGGGCGAGAAACACGCGGGAGGAGGAGCAGGAGGACGTCAGCGACAACGACCACATTGAAGACGACGGCCACCGCCCCGACGACCATGATGACGACGACGGCAGTGACGGCGACGTCCGCGACCCGCGACGAGGAGAGGTTCCCGGTGGTCCCAAGCAGTCGATGGAGGCCTCCGAAGGTCAGGCGTCCAGAGGCCTCCTGGAGGCACAGGCAGTGCCAACCAGAAGGCGTTCATAGCATCCGCAGCGGCAGCGGCGGCAGCGGCGTCGAGAGCTGGCGGGGAGGAGGTGAGCGGAGCCACCTGCGCGCAAGTTTGAAGGCTCCCAAGTTTGATCAAAGGAGATGGATCGGAGGATCGCGCCGCATCGCCTATGTATCGGCGATGCGGCTCGATGTGGAGCCCAGTTGCCTTCACGCTTGCAGCGCCGGTGCATCGCCGACGTCGCCGATACATTGCCGATGCATCGCTGATGCATCATCGGCGGTGTGCGCGATCCTCCGAGCCTTTCTACTCGAACCAACTTTGGGCGGCCTCCACAAGCGCCACCGGCAGCCGCTCGCCGAGGTGCGCGCCCCGCAGCTGAGCATACGGGACTACCTCATGAGGCACCGCCGCCGCCGCGCTGCGACTCTGCGGCCATCTGCGAGGTGTTATTCGAGGTCGGCCCGCAATCTGCTGCGCCTGGGCTGTCAGGCACCCCTGTCTGTGGCAAAGGTGCTGACCCCCAGGGGTTTATAACTTGCGAGCTCTACCCCGGCGGGTCCAATCGGCGCTGGGGTCCAACCCGCTGCATTCGGGGGCCACCAAACGGGGTGACCACACCGTGCGGTGAGTTAGTGGGGATTCCGGGTCACCGTACGGTTTTGGGACTCGAGTCCCTCTCCGAGGATGTCTCGGGCGACAGGGGCCTCCAGGGTCTCAAAACCGTGCGGTGACGGACCGTGCGGTGAGGTCTTGGGGGATTTCGAGGTCACCGCACGGTCCGTCACCGCACCGTTTCGGGACTCCAAAGGTATGGGTTCATCTGTCTGCAGGCATCCTCCAAGTTGTGGACGCCCCGCTGGTGTCGCAGAAATCTGACCTGCAGATGTAGGGTTCACATGATGTTGCCTGGCGGTCGTCTCAGCTGGGCTCTACTTGACATCAGGCGTTCGATACGGCTCACAGGTGTATATAAGTACCAATATTTACAGTTTGCATTTCTATGAAATCTACATCTAAATAAACACACACACATATATATATATATAGACATACCATCAGATGATGTATAGTATGTTATTGTTAATCAAGAAACAGTGGCAGGGCCCTCAGAGGCCCGTTGAGGCCCCCCAGCAGCTTGCAAAGACCTTAGGAGACCTATGGAGACATCGGGAGAGCTACAGAGGCTTTCGAGGACCTCTGCACATCGGGCGAAGTGAATAGACATTCAAAGTGGGTAAGTTGTTTGTCACGGTTGGAATCTGGGGGCCGTTTTCAGACTCTCGGGCCATAACCCGACGCTCGAGGATGAAGCAATTCAGTGCGGTCGTTCATTGAATGGGTTCTCGTTTTCATGTGTTGCTACACGGACAAGGGAGGGGCCATCTTTGACAACATCACGACAAGTGGGGCCCTGGGATTGTCGTCATCCTCCTTTTTCTTCCTTCTCGGCATCTACCGCAACCGCCTGCCTCCACTGGTCCCGCTCCTCCGCCTCCGCCTCCTCCTCCTCGCACGGCCACCGTCGACCGCAATCGGCGGGACCTTGAGGCGCAGGCGGTGTAGCTGGTGACCGCTCGCGACAAGAGCGCGGCCAGGCTTCTGCTAGCAGCGCCCACGTGAGCCCTGCGTGGGGCCATCGCCGAGGCCTGCCTCGCGGAACGCGTCGCGACGACACCGACAGGAGTAGTGCCAGCGGGCTGCCTGGAAGACGAAGTCGCGACGTGGGCTGGATGCATGAGCCGCCCGGTTCGAGGCCGCACCGTGCAGCTCCCCTCTCCGGTCTCCCTCCTCTAGCTCTCCTCGAGCATTTTGAACACTGGCCCGGGGATGATGCTGAAGAGGACGCTGCGTGCTTTCTCTTCGACTGACGGGGTGACTTATTGCATCCTACACCTTTCTATGCCTGGTTTGGCCGCGAGAGTTTGAGAGCTGTTGACCCGCACCCCCGATCGGGCATACATGCTGGAAAAACAAACTCACTCATGAGCGGTCTCGGACCCGCTGCCTGCTACTGCCCGCCCGTGCGTTTGACGCGCGAGGGCGCTCGCCCCAGATCTGCGTGACGGACCCAAGGGCTAGGACCATGGTGTGGTCTTGCGACAGCTCGTAGTCTAAGCACCGTACCAGTTTCCCGTGGCATGTGGGCTGCCTCGCGGAGTACAAAACATGCTCCCTTTGTCAGCTCCCCCTCCCAAGTCTTTCCACCTCCTGTGTAAAGCCTACTTCATATGCTGGTAACTTGTCGTACGTCTATGGGAACACGTGGTTTCCCAAATGATGCTTCTTGTACTAGGATATTCTTCTTTGTGTTCTAAGGAGCCGGGCTGTGGTTTTGGTCTGGCGGCTATGCTGCCGCCGTCGCCGCCGTAAATATCGCACCGCATAGCCCACACCCGCGGATCAAGTGCCTCACGCCGCATAGCTTACAAAGTACCATTTACACCACATAGGTTACGTCACGTAGTTTGCAACGCGTAGTTCACATAACCTACATCGTATTACATAGTTCGCATAACAGAAGTCGCAGCACATAGCTTACGATACGTAGCTCATTCAGTCCCCAAACGGTGCTTGCGCTTATGGGTTCTCGTTCGCTGTCTAAGGTACTGGGGTTGGCCGTTGGTCCACAGGCTGTGTCGACGCCGTCGCCGCTCCGTCGTCGCCTCGTCGCCGCCCGTCGTCTTGGCCTTGGCGTCGGTGTAACGGCTCCGTGGTCGCAGGCGCCGCCCCGTTGCGCATCGTCACCACCCGTCATTTCCACAGCATACATAGCACCGCGTCTACTGCATCATGTGTTGGCATCGTCTGGTCGTGTGCATATTTCCTCGGTGAGGGCCATCGAGGAGCATTTAGGATCATCTTGCGAGATGACAGCCACACGGAACCGAAACATGTGTGGGGAGTGGACGTCCGAACGATGGCAAGATGTATATTGTACCCCGCAGGTTGCAATACGCACATATCACAACATCTTTGCACCACACTCCACAACGTACATATATATATATATATATATATACACATATCTATATATAGATACATATATATATATATGTATATATATATCCCTGGGGGGCAGGGCCGCGGCCCAAAAACCCAAAGAGCGTTCAAAGACAGGCCCCGAGGGCACCCGTACGCCCAAGATGGCCCCAAGATTGCCCCAGGGGCCCCCAAGAGCGCCAAGGGCAGGCCCAAGAGCCTTCCCAAGAGAGCCCCGAGAAGCTTAAATTGTTCAACTTCTTATGGGAAAACGTACATGTTTGACATGCGCGACGTTTTCCTTTCCCGACGCTCCACGGCGGCCCCCGAAGCACACAAGACCGCCCCGAGACCGCCCAATAGACCCCCAAGACGCCCTCAAGATGCCCCCTATGACGGCCCAAGAGTCCCCCAGACAACCCAAGAGCTCTCCAGGACGGCTCCAGAGAGTTCCGAGACGGCTCTCTAGGCCGCCAGCGGGTCCCAAGAAAGCGCCGAGACGCACCCGAAACGCCCCCAAGAGCCTCCCAGAATGGACCCGGACGGCTTCATAATGGTTCCCAAGAGGCCGACTCTCGCTGATAAGACGCCCCCCAGACGCCCCCAAGAGCCCAATAATAGTCCCAGACGGTTTCAAAACGGCTCCCAAGTGGCAATGCTTCGTTGTCGGTAGAACGGATTGGAGTTGAGGTACGGTGGGTGCGTCCTTTGTCCCTGTACTGGAGTCCGCCGACAAGTACGAGCCATTGCCATGCAAGATGAGCCAGCAATTGTGCACAGCGCGTTCTGGCAGGGCCCTTCCGGAACACGCTGAGGGAGAAGGGAAGTCAGGAAGAGGAAGAGGAAGAGGAAGAGGAGGAGGAGGAGGAGAAAGAAGAGGAGGAGGAGGAGGAGGAGGAGGAGGAAGAGGAGGAGGAGGAGGAGGAGTGGGAGGGGGAGGAGGAGGGGGAGGTGGGAGGGGGGGAGGGGGGCGGGGGGCGGGGAGAGGGGGAGGGGGGAGGGGCAAGTTAGGCGCGCTCGCGTCAACATCTGACATCCTACCCCTCCCTCCCATCCCTTACCATGGCGCTGATTTTCTCTATCCGCGGACGCGTGTCGTAGCGGACCTGTGGCTCCGCGCGCGTGTGCGTAGTGGGTGGTGGTGCGCGTGCGTGCGTGCGTGTGTGCGTGGTTGTGGTTGTTGTGGTGGTGGTGTGTATGTGTGTGTGTGCGTGTGTGCGCGTGTGCTGTGGTGTGACGTGGTGTGGCGTCTTGGTGGTTTGGTGGTGGGCCAGGTGCGTACGTGCGTGATGGCGGTGGTGGTGGTGTGGCGTGTGTGTGTGGTGTGTGTGTGTGTGTGTGTGTGTGTGTGTGTGTGTGTGTGTGTGTGTGCGTGCGTGTGTGTGTGTGTGTGTGTGTGTGTGTGTGTGTGTGTGCGTGTGCGTGCGTGCGTGCGTGCGTGCGTGCGTGCGTGCGTGCGTGCGTGCGTGCGTGCGTGCGTGCGTGCGTGCGTGCGTGCGTGTCTGTGTGTGCGCGCGTGTGATGTGGTGTGACGCGGTGTAGCGTGGTGGTGGTGGGTGGGGTAGTGCGGTGGTGGTGGCGGTGCGCGGTGGTGGTGCGCGTGCGTGCGTGCGTGCGTTGGTGGGTGGAAGTGGCGGTGGGTGTGCGTGCGGCGGGGCGGGGCGTGGTGCGGCGCGGTGGTGGCGGGCGGATGGGCGCGCGAGAAAGAGGCCCGCGCTGGGGCGAGAACGCCATCCTGAACGACGGAGGCAAAACACCGATCCGAAAATGAGGCCCACGCTGCAGCGGGAGCACGATTCGGAACGATTCGGGAGCAGAAATGAGGCCGGCGCCTCAGCGAGAGCAGCATTTTGAAAAAAACGCAGGCGAAAACCCAACTCCCGGGAATCCTGTTTGTAAAAAAACAGTACGCGGGGGGGGTCGGCTACTCCCAGCACGCCATCAGGGGAAGAGGGAGAGTAGTATTCATATTGAGTAACTGTGGAGGGGCGAGAGGGGGAGGGGGGAGGGGGAGGGGGAAGGGGGAGGGGGAGGAAGGAGGGGAGGAGGAGGAGGAGGAGGAGGAGGAGGAGGAGGAGGCGAATGAGGAGGAAAATGAGGAGGAGGATCTGAAGGAGGAAAAGGAGGAAAAGGATGTCCTGGAGGCTCCCCCCCTGGCCTCGGAATTGACGTAATTCAGCATGGTTACCGTCCAGTTCGGGCCCCGGGGACGAGGTCCCAGGAGGGCCCCAGTGGGGCTCCGGGACTGGAGCCCCGAGGGGGCTCCGTCGGGGGCCCAGGAAGCAGCCGACCTGAACTCCGCATCCCCCCTCCCTGTTCTTCCTCCTCCTCTTCTTCCTCCTCCTCTTTTCCTTCCCCTCCTTCTCCTCTCCTCCTCCTCCTCCTCCTCCCTCCTCATCTCCTCCCCTCCTGGCCCAGTCCTCCTCCCCCTCCCCTCCTCCTCCTCCTCCTGCTCCTCCTCCCCTCTCCTCCTCTT